TCGTGAGGTACCTGTGCTGGATGAAGTTGAAGAAGCAGAGAGTTGAATTCGGTCCAATATTTACAGCCTTTGAGTGTCCGGAGATGCTGATGACATAATGTCGGCAGATGATCTGATCTGTTTCGCTGTTACGCGCTCATCCAAATACAGACATGCGCGGTGATGCGTAAAAGCGCGTGGTGCACTCTGATTGAGGTGCACATTTCATCATTTTCTGTAGAACTGATAGATTCAGTTTCTGTATGACATTATTTTGTATCGTATCTGATCAAAAAATATTTATTTTTATGTTTCTCATGCATCAAATAATACAATATAATGCAATTGCAGTGAGTATGATTGTTTTAATAATAATAATACGTTACATAATATTATATAAATATCTTTTATTTTCCTATATAACATTTTATACAAAAAATAATAATAAAAATGTGTATTTCAATAGTTATGCATCAAATACAATAAAAAGTGTGTGCACATCTATTTTGTAGGCTATTTCATAAATACCTGAAATAAAACTGAAATGCATTTGTGAAATGCTCAGACAGAACTGCTACGTTTTTTTACACCGTAATTCAAACCTTTCCTTCAAAAGCCATACACAGATAGACTAAATGCTCATTACACACTGTGAGATTATTAAAAAGAGTAGGCCTATACTGAAACTTTTAATGCAATGTAGTTTTTCAGTGCAGCTTCTACACATTTTAAACTTTGCAAAACTTGTGATTATAATTTGGGGAAATGAGTCTTTCTGTTTGAAAATGCCATAATGGTTTAAGATATTTGACTAATAGAAAGAAAAAAGGAGGCTTAATTAACTGAAATTAGAATTTATTGAAAATGTTGACTAAACTGAAACCAAATGAAACCTAATCCTCCTACAGTATGGGCAGCAGGTGATGTTTAGAATATTATAACGCGTTTTGCAGGATATTTGTAACAGATCAGATGTGGTTTAGAGCTATGTTTAAATTGCTCAGAGAGAGAGGGAGCCCATGTTTGTTTTCAACTGCATCGGATGGAAAACATTCATCATGTAATTGCAAACCCCACTCAGTCAAAACAATCTCAAAGCACCCTTGTGGAGATTCAAACACACAGCACACAATACTGTGATGAGGGAATATTTCTCACACTGCTATTATCCATGAGCACGCAAACAACACTGGCACATTCTTTTGTTAACATAAGAGTTGCAAAATGACATACAAAGCTTACACCAACAACAAAGCATGAACAATATATCACAAAAAGCTGATTCAAATCATGCCTTACGGTGTAACTAAAACCAAATATTTGCTTAATATTTTCCATCAGCTGATAAAAACAATGAAAAAAGAAGAAAGTGTTATTATAGATATGGACTCGTATTTACGCTGGAAGCAGCAGTTTAACATTAAAATGTCTTGATGGATTTGTTTATTACAAACACACAGCTTTTCGCTTCACGAGACATTAACTGATGGACTGGAGTGGTGTGGATTACTTGTGGATTATTGTGATGTTTTTATCAGCTGTTTGGACTCTCATTCTGACGGCACCCATTCACTGCAGAGGATCCACTGATGAGCAAGTGATGCAATGCTACATTTCTCCAAATCTATTCACATGACGAAACAAACTTATCTACATCTTGGATGGCCTGAGGGTGAGTACATTTTCATTTTTGGGTGAACTATTCCTATAAAAGTGCAATTTCACCGCAGTCATTCATATAGGATAGGAATGTATTTTGTTTCCATGTAGAGTGATAAAAACAGAAGTACTTGAACTAGAATAACTCAGAGAAATAAACGAAACATTTGGAGAATATAGAATATATATAATATATAAACACACACCGTGAACACACACCCGGAGCAGTGGGCAGCCATTTTTGCTGCAGCACCACCATCAGTGCCTTGCTCTGGGGTCTCACCTCAATCATGGTATTGAAGGTGGAAGAGAGCTCAGTACATTCACTCCCCCCACCTACAATCCCTGCTGGTACTGAGACTCAAGTCCGGTTACAAGTCCGACTCTCTAACCATTTGGCCACGTCTGCCTAAAGTTATACTCGCATTGGCCAAAGAACACCTACAATGTCCACTGAGGGGTCGAGGTTGGTGCTGTAGTCCAAAAAAGTTGAATTTAAGCAAAGTTGCACGTCATGTGTTTTCGTTGTGAAGAAGATGAAGACTTTCCAGAAAACCAGGGGCTTGTACCATGCTGGTGGCTAAACAAACTCAGGGTTGCAGGATTAGTTTTGAGTTGACAAAACCAAACCAGTCCAATCAGGGTTTGTTGGTACCATGATGCTGATCATCAGCTTTCTCTGTCAGCTCAGACTTTGATCCTGAGTTTATGATCCATGTGCACATGAAAGTGTGACATTAGTAACGAACAGCCAATCACATGCCTTGAAACTCTGATTCACTTCTCGCGAGAGAGTCTGTGCGATTCACTACCAAAGATTAAAAGACTGAAAAATATGAAGAATTTAAACACATTTACAGAGCAAGAGGACAACTTAAAGAAAACATCTTGGCATATCAGTGCAAGTAAAAGTTGTGAAGTTAGTTTATAAAAACACTTAAAAATCGAAGCTCATATGTAGTCATGTTTAAAGCTATTTATTCTAAAACTTATTTATATTGCATATCTTTATATATTTATATTCATTTAAAATAAAAGCTTAATAATTATTATTATACTAAACTGGCTCGTGTAAGGGTATAATAATTATATAAATAATTTAAATAATTATAATTAATAATCATCTCTAAAAGCCAGATGATTTTATCTGTAAAAATGTTTTACTGTGTAGTGTCCTTTAATTTGGAACAAGAGAAACTGGGGGAGTGACATTATTGTGTCAGAGATGTGTCACTTTGCTCGAAGCTGATTGGTCAAATTTGAGTTTGAGCTCGCTAACCGAGAGAGCCGGTTAACAGTCCAGCGTAAGTTACTAGGTGATGAACACTGATTAAAGCAGAGCTACTTTCATGGTATACCTAAAGCCCAGAGTTGGAGCACTGCAAACTAAACTGAAACTCATCTGGCTAGCCAGTTAAACCGGCTTCATGGTACAGGCCCCTGAAACGAGTCTCTTCTTGCTATGACAGCATGTGCATAATGACATCAACAAAACACATGTTCAAATACGTTACAGAGGAATTGTGCAATTCTTAAATGTTGCTTTGATGCGTGTGATGCAACTTTCATTTTAATGTTAAAATTATCATTTCTAATGTATATCCCAGTGCCTGTACACATATCACATGATTCATGCGGTCTCCATAATGGCCAATTACTCACTTCCTCGATCGCTCAAACCAAACATATCAGCATTATTCCAAGTCTCTCGTGAGTTCAGTCGTGATGAAGAATTAATGAGGAAGAACTTAAGATGACATAACAAAGACAACATACAATCAACCTCAAGTAAATACATTAAAATGAGTCATTTGTTGTTTGCTGAATACCGAAATGAATCATTTGTTAAACTGATATTGCATAGCTGACTGTTTTCCAATTTGTAATAATAAAATCAAATAAAAGTCATTTAGAAGTAAGATGAATTTCATTATCATCTAATCACACATTGATCCTAGTTGGAATTACACTAGGTTCTTTGAGAAATTACAAGTCAATTGTTAGTCCAACTGCACACACAGCAAACAGAAACAACATGTGCATGCTGTAACTTACTAACTTTGCATGTTGTAATTTTAGGTTAAGAGATATGCAATGTAGTCTGTAAATAAGGTATATTTGAAGTTTGGTAGCAAAATTAAAATAGATAATGGACTCATGTTACAGAGCCATGAATTCATTAGTCAAAAACTGATCATTTATGGTTTTTAAATATTGCTGATGACAACACTGATGCTCATCATTCATTCTGTGATTTTTTTGTAAGAGTTAATATAACCTACAGCACTATGTTAGCCTGAAGGCTTGAGGGGGAATTTCAGATCGGCAGTAACCTGTTGAACATTGAGCACATCTCATTTACCACAAATGAATACATTTGATGTTGGCATAAAGTGCCTTGAAAGCATTGTATTTCAGAATGTTTTGTGACTTAATGAAATGCAAGATAAATATGAGACCCTGAACTTCAGCTTTGTCTTTCAGAACTCAAAACATGCTTATTTTAGAAGCAACAAACCCTGACTAACATTATGAGTGGACTTAATGAGTGGAAAACTACACTAGAGTCTAATGAAGATTTTTTTAAATGAAGTCTCTTATGCTCACTAAGCCTGCATTTATTCGATCAAAAACACAGTAAAAACAGTAATAGTGTGAAATATGATTACAATTTTAAAGTGTATTATAATTTATAATTACTCCAGTCTTCACATGATCCTTCAGAAATCATTCTAATATGCTGATTTGCTGCTCAAGAATTACTTCTTATTATCATTATAGAAAACAGTTGTACGTGGTACATTGCCATTGAAACGTTTTGTGTAAGTAAAATTAAAAAAGAAAAAAAATAATACTTTCAGCAGGAATGCATTATACTCAAACATGACAGTAAATTCATTTAACAAAATATTTGTATTTTAAATAAATGCTGTTCATTGAACTTTCTATTCATCAAAGAATCATGAAAGAGCATGTATCACGATTCCCATGAAAATATGAAGCAGCATAACTGTTTTCAACATTGATAATACTCAGAAATGTTTCTTGAGCAGCAAATCAGCATATTAGAATGATTTCTGAAGCATCATGTGACACTGAAGACTGGAGTAATGATGCTGAAAATTCAGCTTTACAATCACAGGAATAAATTACATTTTAACATATATTCAAATAGAAAACAGCTATTTTAAAAAGTTAAAATATTTCACAATATTACTGTTTTACTGTATTTTAGTCAAATAAACGCATTTGTGCAAAGTGCATAAGAGACTTCTTTCAAAAACATAAAAAAAAAAATTAAATGGTAAAGTAATTATAAAAATGTACTGAAAGCGCTTTACTAAAGATGGCGGGGTGATGGCTTATTGTCCTTTACATTTGCGTGGTAAGGGTGAAGACAGCTCCAGCAGCCTGGGGGATGCGGTGGCGGCCCAAGCGGAAGGACTGACCTGGTAGGGGTCGTACCCCTCAAACAGGGCCTGATGGGTCTTGGGTTGAGCCAGTTTCTCGCTGGCTACGGCCTTCAGAACACGATCTGGAACCGGCCAAGAAACTGGCCTTGCGAGAGCGTGCTGTGCATGGACCTGCTTAGGAGCTGAGCGCGGAAAATAATGACAGAAGAAAGAATTACAATTCAAACCCAACTGAACCTGTGTCAATAACCCATAGTGCATAGGTTACTTTCTGAGCAGTTGCAGACTGTATATGCAGTAGATGATAATTTACAGTATAAAAAGAGCAGTGATATGCACTCACAGGCCAGCTGTAGTATGCGTGAAGAGGGTGTGATGGAAACGCTGATCACATGGGCGCTTGAATCAACGCTGCAGTGTGTCAACAGCATCTTCACCCGCTTTGGTTGTGCCAGCTGACATATTCTTGGACTCGGCTTGGCATTTTTAACTACAACACTTAAAGGGTTAGTTCACCCAAAAACGAAAATTCTGTCATCAATTCCTCACCCTCATGTAGTTTCAAACCCGTAAGACCTTCGTTCATCTTCGGAACACAAATTAAGATGCTTTGGATGGCCCAGAGGCAGCCTCACAATATCTCAATATTTATAGCTTTATTATTATTATTATTATTGTTGTTGTTGGTGCCGTTATTATTACTACTACTACCATTATTATTATTATTACTATTTGTCCTCTTCCTGATCCTCCAACCTCCCCCCGGTTCCTGATGAATGAGTTTATTGTTAATATTGTTATTATTGCTACTATTACTAATTAATACTATTATTTTGCTATTTGTCATCTTCCACATCCTCCAGCTTTCCCCGCATTTCTGATAAATTGAGTTCATTATTATTATTGTTATTATTATTATTTAATAAATGTATTTATATTTATTTTTTATTAATATATATATTTTTATTATTATTATTGCTATTACTATTATTACTTATCACCTTCCTCATCCTCCATCCTCTGATTTTTGTTATTAATGCTATTATTATCATCATTATTACTATTGTCATCATTACTATTACAGTTTTCTACTATTATGTCTGTTGTACTTTTCTACATGTTCCTTTATTTATATACTTCCACCCCTCACACCCAGTCACACACACACACACACACACACACACACACACACACAAACTCACTCACTCACACTGAGACACACAGTCACACATTGAGACAGTCACACACACACTTACACACACACACACACACACACACACACTCACTCACTCACTCAGTCACACAAATCATGTTGGCTGTCATGTATGTTTTGTTGACCTTGGTTATTTTGTATTTGATTTGGCACGGGTAAATTGTATATCTGTTTGCATAATAATATAAAAAAAAGATGCTTTGAATGGAATCTGAGAGCTGTCTGACCCTGCATAGACAGCAACGCAACTGAAATGTTCCCAAGTCCAGAAACGTAGCAAGGAGATCTGTAAAGTAATCCATGTGACATCAGTGGTTCATCCGCAATTATACGAAGCTACGAGAATACTTTTTGTGCGCAAAAAAAACAAAACAAAAAACGACTTTATTCAACAATTCGTCTCCTTCAACAGTTTTTGTTTATTTAGCTTAGGTTATTTTAGTACTTAAACTAATTGTTTTTAAAGGGTTGTCTTTGTCAACTAGGTGAAATAAAACAAGTTAACTTTTTAAAAATATATATATTTTATATCAAATAATGGTTATTTAAAAAAAATAATAACTGACTACCACATGCTAAAAGTATGTACTTCACTTGTGATGGGAATGTTCATAATTTGAGCATGTGGTAAGACAGCATACAAATATCTGGACCAAACACCAAATCACAGCTTTTATAGCACAGATGTCATGCCATTTAATATTTGCACTGGCATGTTTTAGTTTCCTGCTACATGAACTGTGACAAAGAACCCAGGAAATAGCTTGATGAATGTAAATTTTTTTCCTATGTCTATAACATATTTCATATTGAAACTGGAAGGTGTGGTGAGGCACATTGAAGGGATTGTCCCAGTGTAAAAATAGCTAATAACCTTTAGTTTACCTCACACCTAATTTGCTACTTAGGGAACATTAGCCCAAAAAACAAACACACCTACACTCTTTGAAAATACACTACAAATAGTGTAGCTTGCCTGAGACCACTAGTGAAAATGCTTCTACTTTGCATTATTTATCATTTAATATTAATTTTTTAATAATGAATAATTTCTCTCTCTATCTAATCTCCCTATTACATTTTCTATTAAAGCTGCAGTCCGTAAGTTTTGCCTCTTTGTCGCCATCTCTGTTTGAAAACCTGGAATTGCAGCTGTGTGCGGAATTATCTAGCTTGCGTGGTTGTGAGTCGGCACGGCTTCAGCGCGGACGAATCTAATGTTCTGAAGAGTATAGCTGCGTCTCATTTAGAAGGCTGCGGCCTCCGGAGGTCGCATTCGAAGGCTGCATACGTCATCGAGGCTGTCTCATTTCAGAAAATCAAGTAGGACACTCCGAATGCGACCTTCGAATGCGACCTTCTTTCACAGGAATTCGGAGGATGCATGAGGTGTATCCTTCGCTGCTACAGATAACCCACAATTCTTTGCGTCGCCGTAAACAACCGTTGTTAATTTGAAAAATGCCGGTGCCGGCAGATGTACACACAAGCGCAGATGTGGTGTTTACAACTTATCTTAAATCGCCTCAGTAAAAACGGATAAACTTTGTTTTTAATATCCTCCTCCTTTCTTTTCTCTAACAGATGTCTGCTGTACGTACGCTGCAGCTCCTCAAACATTGAACAAAACAAAACAAGTAAAAGCATTTTTTTTTTTCAAATTACTTTCCAAATTTAGAAATAATTTTCCTTCATTTAAGTAGTGTGAGAGCGCAACGATGCTCTAAATGTGTTGGCATAGCAACGTGATACTTCCTGTTTCCTTTTCCGCCTGTCCTACGAAGGTGGTCTCATTTAATTCTAGGTTGAGGACACTTCGTATATGCATCCTACAGAGGATTCGACCTCCGGAGGGCGCAGCCTTCTAAATGAGACACAGCTTTTGTGTGGCAGTCGGGTGTGCCTCACACGTCCTGAAAAGTGAAGCTGCAGGCTCTTTGATCGCCCCCTGGTGG